AAAAAAAAAAAAAAAAAAAAAAAAAAAAAAAAAAAAAAAGTTGGCTCCAAAAGAAAATCTAAGAGGGCTAACCAAAAGGTCAAACCCAGTTCACGGGAATTAGGAAGCAGCTAGCAGGGATAGCTATAGCTATAGCCTTTTACCCTGTCAACCCCCTTAGCAGCTTCCTCCCCAACCACCATATAAAATCTCCAAGAAAGGCCCAACTCACCACCAGCTAGCTTCTTCAAGGTCATCCTAAGATAACGCAATGAACAATCACCAAATCACCACGCATACCTTTAGGGCTAAGAGAGATTTTCCCCCTTCCCCAAATCGTTATATACTTTAAATACCATCAGGCTTTTCTCCAATTCCATCAGAAACAAACTCCTAGACTTTAATTTAATTTAGATTGACCACCTAAATAAACGTGTTCGGTTTTGCGACCTACATTATTAAAAGGCTTTCCAAGTCTGGCAAACTCCAGTTCAAAAACAGGTGCTTTCAAGGTACTTTTAATGACAAGGTCAAGTTCATATTTTTAATTACTAGAAGAATAAGGTTTTGTTTTGTTTTTTTTAACCTTCCTCAGGACTACGTGAGGCGTGGGAACTGGGGGAGTACTGCTAGGGTAAAACTCCCTCGCACAGGGTCAGTATTGGCGTAATCAGTAGTTCCTAGTCTTCCCAGTGTCTGTAGTTAGCCAAGGTTAGACGAAGAAAATAAAAACAAAGAAACCTACTAGGTCTAGTTACCAGAACAAACTGCACCGCCCTGCCACCCCAAGAAACCAACCCCACCCGCAACCAAAACAAACCTCGCCCCTCCCGGAGCCCCCTCCCACACGTAAACACACAAAGAAAACAGCGGCACGCACAATTCAGCCACAGTCCTCACTTCCCTTTGTACAACGGGGAGCCCCGAAACTTCCCCACGGTGGTTTTTTCGGGTGTCGTCGGGGCTAGGCGCCCTCAACGTGCGGGCCACGACTCGACTGCGGGGGGTTGGGGTGCTCGCTGCACGCACCCGCTTCCCAGAAAGCAGCAAGATGCCTCCCCAGTCCTCCTGCGGCCCTCGGCACCCCTCCAAACGCGCTTCCCCCTCAGGCACGCGGTGACGGCCGAGAGGCACCGGGGCAGCAAACAGAAACGCTCCCCGGTGGGTTTGTTGGTAAATAGAACAACTTGGGTCAGGAAGAAAGTTCCGGCAGAAAGCTGCTCGCCGGGGCGAGGGCGGCAGGAGGTGACCCGCGTCCCTTGCCGCCTCCTCCCTCACCTGCGCCGGAACAACGGGCCCCCACGCACGCCCGCCCGCCCGGCGCCTCCCGCAGGCCGCGCCTCCCGCACGCCGCGCTGCCGGGGCTTGTTCCTCCTCATGGCTTTGCCCTGACGTAATTCAAACATGGCAACAGTTCGACTTCAAAGGCGAATCCACAGACCTCCCAGACACAGACTCCGGGCCACGGGTAACGGGCCAAGAACTCGGGGCCACGCTCTCCCGGCCCCTCGGCCGTCGCGGCACTCGGCTCCCGTACTGAAGCGCCGGGGCCCCGAGACCGCCGCCTCCCTGCCCGCCCGGAGCGCGGAGCACGCCGCCTCCCCGCGCACCAGCATGGCACCTCACGCCAGCAGCGCCGCCAAAGTTTCCCAGCGAGGAGCTGAGGGACAAAAGCCCCTCTCGAAACTCGCCCAAAGTTCGGGGGGCCGGGCCCGCACGGCCCTCCGCCGGGCGGCCGCCCCAGCGCCGGCGGGGCCCGCACAGGCACATGCAGCTCTTTGTTTTCTGTCCAGCCGGGCGCTGCCTACGTGCAGCATCAGGGATGTCGGATTGTTTCTCAGAGGCGAGAGACACTTGACGATCACCCCGGGTTAGGGTCCGGACTCCGCGCCCCGAGAGCTCGGAGCCTGTACCCCCGTCCTCCCCTCAGCAGCAAGCCCATTTAATCAAAGTTTTTCAGTGTCCTTGATGAGAAACGCCCGATTACCCGCCCCGCACCAGCGGAGAGTTGGCGACTTTCACTCTGCTTTTTAAACTGGCAAGACGCCATCATCAGCAAATCACATTGTCCTGCCGGCCGGCCGGCCCCGACAGCACCCGCATCTCACTGCCGGCCCGGAGCCGGACACTCACACTGACCTCCGGCGAAAACCGGGGTCGCAGCCCCAAGCACGTGGTCTGTCATGTTCAGCACAAAAAGCAGTGCCCTCCGGAGTTCCCTCACTCCTTCGGCGCACACAACGCCGCTGCCTCCATCCCCAAGTCAACTTGGCTCTGACTAGCCATCTTAAGCCGCACACGGCTGCCCCAGAAAGCCCTCGCCGAGGCGCCCACATCTACGCTACAGGTGAATAAATTGCGAACAAAACTTGAGGCTCCACAGACACATGGGCCCCCCGCGCTGCCTGGGCGCGGTCGGGGGGAAGAGGCATTGGGGAGCCGGGCTGCTTCAAGCGGCCGCGTGTTGCTCTCATTGTCGCATCCGCATCCCTCCGGAGTTCGGCAAACAACGCCACGCCGCGTGCACTCCGGCCACCGGGCGCTGACCCAAAAGGCCGATTTAAACCCCCTCACGCCCGCCAGCTCGCAAGCAGACGGCAACTTAAGTTTCCGAGCGAATGGCGTTTATTGTCCACCCTTCTCAAACACGCGCCGGGGGCTGCAACGAAACTAAACCACGAGGTTCAACCGCGGCGCCCGACCACTCCCGGGGCGCGCGCCCACGCGGATGCACCAGCCCGGGGCCCCTCCGCAGTTGCCAGCAAGTCGTTTTTCTCTCCGGCCTTCCAGCCACCAGCTCCTTTCCGCCACACAACACTACGGCTGAGAAAAGTCATTGTCACCTTCAACGTGGATCCCTCAACTCCGGCGACTCCTCAGTCGTCTGCAACCTCCACTCACTTCCCCCACCCCAAGACTTTCGGTTTGCCTCCAGTACCCTCCCCAATTAAAAAAAGACACACTAAACGTGTATACAAAAGAACCCGGGGCTTGAAGATCACGAGAACACTGCTCCCAGCAATGCCATCTCCAAGACAAAACTTCCTGTGCGTGCGTCTGTGTGTGCGTATTTGTGTGGAAGGACCGGGGGAGGTGGGGGAGGTGAAAAGAGGAAAAAGAAAAAAAAACCCACTCTGAAATCAAAGCCTCATGAGACAGTTTTGCACCAGAGTAATGGTTAGAGTCACTCACCTTCCAAAGGCAGCCGTTCCACGCGCAATAACGTTCCCGAGGTGCGGAGTGCACGCCAAGCCAACCCCCCCTTCCGATCGCTCCCTCCTCCTCAACTGCCTTGTCTAGAAATATTGTCTCCTGCAGTTCTGCAGTTGCTACCGCTGGCCGGGAAGGTGTAGATTCCGCTTTCCCTCTGCGCACGCGCGTCTCCCGGTACAAAATTCTCCTGAATCGAACTTATTTGCATACGGGCGCGCGCGCGTCGAGGGCTGGGAGGGGAGAAGGCCTAGCGGCCGCGCGCGCTCCCGAGGCCTCTATTGTCCTTTTAAGGGGAGAAGTGCCGCGGCGCGGGAAACGAGGCGGCCAGAGGGAAACGGGGGCGGGGACTGCTTACTACGGCTGACGTCACGTAAACAAACGCCCCCTGGCTGGAGGCTGCAGCGGAGAGGGAGTGGCGGGGTGGGAAAGGCGGAAAGGTTAGCGAGGGAGGGTGGACGTTCGGCTGCGTGACGTGCTTTCCACCCTGAAGTTCTTGGGGCGCACCTTCTCTCGTGGAAAGATCGTTTTGGAAGATGTTTTTGCAAAATTGTCACACCTGTGCCCACGTTCAGCCTGGACGCGACCGGAGGGGTGGTCTTCCAGGCAACCAGACTGAACTTATCCCTCCTATATTTCCTAAATTTTGTTTGGAGTTGGGTTTTTGAAGGTGTTTTGTTTTGTTTTTTTAGTCCTCTGGAACCAGGAGAGATTCGTTTTCGTTTTTCGTGCAGTTTTAATGAGTCGTTTAATAAAGTCCCATTTTAACACTCTATCCATTCATTAACTCCCGCCTGCCTTCCTCAAGCAGTAACCCAACCCATAACTATCCAATTTTCCCCCCACTTCGGCCTTAAGATTTCAAGCCTGTCTGATTGAATAGTTAACTTCCGTGGGAACAGTGTAGCTTTCCTAAACGACTAGTCGGTGGAAGTCAGTAATCTAGAAACATGCATACCTCCTCCAGCTGCTTGTAAAGGGTGTTCCACTCACCCAGAACTAATACCACTAACTGGTGGTCCTGGGAATGGAAAAAGTAGCCATCAAGTGCAGACTTTCCCTAATGAAATGTATAATAAACCAACAATTTAAAAGCTTCCTGTCCCAGGAGGAAAGAAAAAAAAAAAAACTGAAAAATTGCAGTAACTCTTCTCATGTTAAGTAAAAAATGAAAAAAGAAGGATTGTGATACACCTTTGTTTGGAGAACACACCTAACACCAACAGATTGAGCTCCTGATGAAATGATAGAGGGAGGGTGGGGAGAGAGGAAGGATGTTTTTCCCAGAAACTTGATATTGTTCCCAAGCTACAAAAGTGTGGACATCAACCATAAAACTTAATCATCTGCTGACAAGTTTCACTGCTTTCACTGTAATGTCAACAATATGGAATTAAATAGATACTTCTGAAACACTAATTTAATTCAACAAACAATTCACAGTACAGTCAAGACAAACCCACTTCCAACGTCTTTCAAGTAATGTTTCTTTTTTTCTTTGGGTCCTATAACATACTGTTTCCCTAACTGTATATGAAAACCACATATTAAATACCTGCAAAAAAGAGAAAAAAAAAAGACACCCCTCACTAAAATGTGAACTCCCTCAGGGCAAGAATTTTATATTGTATTCATTTTTGTACTTCAGTACCTAAAACAATACATAGCAGAAAAATTGAAAAATTGCTTGTAAAATAATAAATTGATGGACATTTTCAAAATTATTTATCAGACTTACCTCAAGTCAGCAGCTTTACTTTAGTGTAGAATTTTTGTATTTAATCTAAAATGAGTTTGGAAGTTATAGTGATCACCTCAATTAATATGATGCCTATAATGCTCAAACAGTTCTTATCATAATAAAGTGGAGTGGAGTAGGCTTCCTAGCTGTTTCTGGGCTTTCATTGGTAACAAACTGGACCCTGAGCATAAACACCTACCTTCTTTTTGAAGAAAATTTTTATAAATTGTCCTGGATTGTCTCATGTACTTATTTGGTTTATGACAGATCTTCCAAAAATAATTTCAAATTGACATATGCTTTTACAAATATGAAAGTTGCAAGTGTGATAATATTTTTCAAACTTCAATTATTGCTTACAGGATCTATCTATATATTATATATTATATAAGATATAAAAATGTGCCCTGAATGCCTTTTCTCTTGAAAGTTTATATAAAGAATATATATATAATGTAATCCAGGGGTGGAATAGGTTCAACGAACAAGCTATGTAGAAATTACATACAGTATTTAGGATATACTGTTCAGATAAAAAAGTACCTGTAAGCTTCAGAGCTACTGAGTTACCTAATATTGCATGGCAAGACTTCCTGTGCTCTCAAAGTAGAAGTCAAGAAGTAATCTGGGTAATTTTTGTAGGAAAGGTAGCAACAAAATCCTTAAAGAGGAATTTGAATTTCTTAGAGTCATTAAAAAAAAAAAAGGCAAAAACAACAACAAAAAAACCCTCCTAGTTTTGAACAACTAGATGCATTCCAAAGGTTCTTTTGTTTATTCTGTTTCTTTAACATGTTGTATGGCCGTCTCCATTCAGGTGCAATAGCTCATTTATGGGCTACTTTAAAATACTATTACCTAAATATCCCAAGTGAATTTTTCTTGGAAGGAAGGAAGGAATGGAGGGAGGGAAGGAGGAGGGAGGAGGGGAGAGAAAGAGAAAGGAAGGAAGAAGGAAGGAAAAGAAAGAGAGAGGGAGAGAGAAAGGGAAAGAGAAAGAAAAAGAAAGAAAGGGAAAGAAAGAAGTAATTTATAATATATAAATTTGGATAATAGGAGATTGAATTACACAATGTTTTAACTATTTGAGTATTTTGGGGCTCCTGGGTGGCTCAGTCGTTAGGCATCTGCCTTCGGCTCCAGTCATGATCCTAGGGTCCTGGGATCGAGCCCCATGTCTGGCTCCCTGCTTGGTGGGAAGCCTTCTTCTCCCTCTCCCACTCCCCCTGCTTGTGTTCTCTCTCTCACTGTGTCTCTCTTTCAAATAAATAAATAAAATCTTTAAAAAAAAAAACAACTAGGGACGCCTGGGTGGCTCAGTTGGTTAAACAGCTGCCTTCGGCTCGGGTCATGATCCCAGCGTCCTGGGATCGAGTCCCACGTCGGGCTCCTTGTTCTGTGGGGAGCCTGCTTCTCCCTCTGCCTCTGTCTGCCTGTGCTCTCTCTCTCTTTCTGACAAATAAATAAATAAATAAATCTTTAAAAAAAAAAAAAAACAACAACTATTTGAGTATTTTTAATGACCATAATGCTATGTTGACATCATACTGAGTTCTCAAAAATATTGAAATTAAAAATACAGTTTAAAAAATACAGTAAAAAATAAAAAATACAGAAATTGAAATTGAAAATAAGTTACAAGATATTCTGGTTAAGCCAACTACCTTCTTATAATTTGTTGTCCCCACTGTAGAATTATTCCTAGTGCTTGAACATTTTTATTCATTTAGCAAACATTTAATGGTCATAACTATGTGTCAAATAGTAAAACTATTTCAGAAGTAGAGGAGCTCAAGCCCTCCTTACATCTTCTAACTTATTTCTATATAATTCTATTTTATTTATTAACTTTTTCTTCTGTAGCATTCATTGTCTTCTTTTAAGACTGAACGATTAAGCTACTTTACAATTTCTTATAAAATTCTTGGCATGGATGATAAATTATATGTAGAGGACTGAAAAGGACAATTCTTGCCTGGTAATGAAGGATATTATATTATTAGCAATTTAGTAATGTTTGTAATACCAACTCAAACTAATGATCATTTTTTATTTATTTTATTATTATTTTTTAAGATGTATTTATTTATTTATTTGACAGAGATCACAAGTAGGCAGAGAGGCAGGCAGAGAAAGAGGAGGAAGCAGGCTCCCTGCTGAGCAGAGAGCCCGATGCGGGGCTTGATCCCAAGACTCTGGGATCATGACCCGAGCCGAAGGCAGAGGCTTTAACCCACTGAGCCACCTAGGCACCCCTGTTTTTGTTATTTCTTAAGATCTTACTTATTTATTTATTTGACAGAGAGATAGAGCCAGAGAGCACAAGTGGAAGGAATGGCGGAGGGAGAAGGAGAAGCAGCCTCTGTACTGAGCAGGGAGCCCAACACAGCGCTCAATCCTAGGACCCTGGGATCATGACCTGAGTCCAAGGCAGACGCGTAACCATCTGAGCCACCCAGGCGCCCCAGTGATCATTTTTTAAATGAAGGCTAATACTCTCATCAGACGCTGGTACCAACCACATCAAAACAATTTGTTGAGCCCAGGAAAGTGCTGATTATTATTATTAAACATTTGGTTTAGTTCCTAGCAGGTAATAGCCATAGAACTAAACTTTTTCCTCACACCAAAACAAGCATGGTATTTTGTTACTTATTTGTTCAAATCCTTTTGAAGTTCAAATAGCAAGTGGTCAGAGCAAGCCAGAAAATTTTAAGATATAATGAATAGAATTGGCTTTGTAATCTAAGCAATCCTCCAACAACAGTTAGACAGCTACCAGAAAAAGATAGCTATTACTTAAAGTTAGCTTTTTAAATTTTTTGAACTTAAAGATTTGAAGAATTGTCACAAATTTATTCTTAGAGGACTTAGAGGAACCTCTAAATTTATAGAAATTTTAAGTCTTATACTATCTTGTGACATTTGAATAGCATAATTTTAAAAATAAAATTACTGGTTACAAAAGCAATTTTATTTTAAGAAGGACATTGACTGGGGTGCCTGGGTGGCTCAGTCAGTAAGCATCTGCCTTTGGCTCAGGTCATGATCCCAGGATGCTGGGATCAAGTGTGGGGCTCCCTGCTCAGCAGGGAGCCTGCTTCTCCCTCTCCAGCTCCCCGCTGCTTGTGTTCTCTCTCTCTTTCTGTCAAATACATAAATAAAATATTTTTTAAAAAATAACATTGACAAACTAGAGTCAGTTCACAGGAGAGTGAATCAGGATGATGAAAGAGCTGAAAACCACAGCATAAAGGCAGTAATTGAAGGAGGGGCTGTGTTTTGATTGTGCAAGAGAATAATCTGACAATCTGAGGGACCATCATTAGTAGAACCAATAGGCTTGTTCTTTTATGCCCAGGAACCAAATTGTTTTGAAAATCGTAAGAATGTAGATTTCTGTGAAACATCAGAAAAATCTCCACACATACAAATAGTCCAAAGATTGCTCAAAATACTTCATAGGTTAACTCCCCAGCACTAATGACAGTACTCACAGAAGTAAAAGCAAAAATTTTATTTCAGTGAATTACATACATTATTTACAAAATAAAGCCTGCTATCTCTAAACTCCTATAGAAGTCTATGGATCTATGATTCCATGGGATAAATGAGTGGTACCATCAATAAGTGCCTAA